TTTATTTTATAATATTATATAATAATAAAATATTTGTATGATATTGTGTTGTATATTTAGTACTTACTTACATTATATGTATATTATAACTAAATTTATATTGACAAAACGATATTTATTTTTTTGGCTCATTTTTTGAATATCACTAGATTAGGGATGTTTTAAATTTAGTATTCATATTATACTATTCCATTTTGCTATAAATTTCGACTGAGTACTTTATTATTAGATTAAATATTACATATCTATTAGATACATTTTTTGTTTTTAAGGTTTTAACAACACTGCAGATTTTTAGCCTGTGTGGAACATCATTTAGACAAAACGATATTTATATACTACATTTTATTTCGTGTAATAATACCTTTTTGTATGATGCAGTACAACTATAGAATAGAAGGGCAACCATTGTAGATTTACTCGCAATATAATATAATAATATCGTAGAAATACTAACAGATGTGGCTGTTTCCATTCGATTTATGCGTAATACTATAAATACTGGGTCATAATAAAAATATTATAGTTAGGTATAACACCATAAGGAAGAGTATTGTAGGTGGGTACCTAACCTGCCGTGAGATCCCGCCTTTAGTATTTTTTAGATTTTTTATATTTTTAACGTATATCACCCTGTAATGGTGCGTTGTATGACACACCTACACAAGCTAAGGTACATTTTAATCACTCGATATTTTAATGTAAAAATCGGTTGAGAAAAAACAAATCTATTCCTTCAAAGTTAAGAAAGCAATTTAAATTTGTGTTTCACATCATACATAGTTGACACATATATGGTTGGTCAGTGCAAACTGTGTATAATATATTCCACAATAATATATAATAACATGACAAACATGATAAATTACCATAGGAAACTGGTCTGGTTTTTGGAGGTTTATAATATATTTATTATATAATATGTCATATTACACCAACACAAATTTAACATAATAGATAGAACATATTCCATCAATACATTATACTATATATCATGCTGTATCATAAGATATAATTACAAGATAAAAGAATACAAAAATTAAAACTAATTGATTTGCTTGGATGGAACCAAATATAACATTTCCTACAAATCAAAAAATAATAATATACCTACATTTATCGGAGATTTGAATTTGTTTTCTATGGGCAGATTCATAGTCTGCTTTAAAGATTAAATATGTGTGGTGTCTACCACCCATACCTATAATTAAAATATAACAGATTTATAGAGGGCATTTCCTTCGATTATTATAATATTGTTTTTTTTTTCAAAACATGAACCAAAATATAAGGCACTCTTTAGATATTTAAAGCGATAATTATTCGTTGACCTTTACACGTTAATTATACAATAATTTAATTTGAAAAAAATTATAGTATAAGTACCTTCTACAAAATGCATAAAACTTTTTTTAAATTCCAATTGCACTTATCGTTAACGTTATAATATTATTTGTACACCGTTTTCTATTGGCAATCCAATAGCTGTAGGTATACCCACGTTATCTGTTTACATTTATTTTCTTTTATTTAATTTAGATTAAAAAGTGTAATATCTATTGTTATTTTAATATATAAAAAAATCTATAGTCATAATGTTAATACGACAATAATAGTGTGTATATGACATTACATTATTGTAATTTTATGAGAGCATATTAGATATTGTTATTGCAATAACGTATTGTTTGTTAAAGTTAAGTAATATTATTTATCTTTGCAAATAAACAACACGTTATTCTTCTTATATTATTGTATTAAATTGTTGTGTTTACTATAAAAGTTAAAAATTAAATTTCGTAAATCAAAATTACAAGGTCCATCGACGACACATCTATTAAATACTAATCACTCAGAACTCATTAATAATTTATTGCGAAAACGTACTTTTTCCATCCATTTATATTGTATTTTATTATAAAATTAAAATTCGTTTTTAATGTTTCTATCGCGTGAGTTGTTTAAACAAATAATTTCGATAAAATTATACGTTCAAATGTCTCTGAGGTGGACGGTACTAAATTTAAGTGTATACAATAACTAATATTAAATAGGGGGATGGAAAAACAAACCGTCCATGTAGGTATTATATGTACATATATAGCCTATCCGGTAGAAAACGTGTTGAACGGATGGGGGTCCGAGTGTACACTGCTATAACGTAATAATAATATGATATACATAATATTTTATTACGCATACTCGTAGTATAATATTTTGTACCGCGGAATAAAACAAATGGTTTTTTTTTTTCGGAACAATTAAAAACGGTGTGTCAGGAGAAACACTGAGGGCAGATGGCTTTCGAACGGAAATCGTTTTTTTCCATCCATCTTAATATTACTATTTTAATAAAAGCTAATAAAAAGATGTCCCGCCGATGAATGTCGTCATCCACGACGGAGAACAATCGAATGCACGTAGCCCATTTTTTAATCAACACGAACACAATATTTTCTGATTATTATTATTATTTTATTAATTAATTGTATTCCTTTTTGTAATTTCTTTCTCGTGACTATTTTTGTTTTATTTTATTTTAAATATATATACGTATATATATATATATTTTTTTTTAAGGCGGCCAGTCATTGTCAGCTCGGCAGGTATCCGCATAGTTTTTAATGAAGTTCCCCGTTGAATCAATCAACATCAACTGCGCTCATTGGAATCATTAATTCTGTCAAAAATGAAACGTACTCGTAAAATCTAATTACTATTTATTTCTGGTTAATGTCTTTCACCGCGTTCCTATACAGTGGATATATTGTAACTGAAAAAAACAACTGTTACTATATAATATTATAGTCAGGCAAATAGTGATATAGCTAGTACCTAGTCGTGTTAAATACGCTTTGCGTACCTACAATAGATTTTCAACACGACTTATCGCATTCCAAATGCGAATAGATGTTTTTAACTGTCCAGAGAACCATTAGGAATATGCGGCATTGTTTGAATAAAAAATAGTTATAATAAAATTAAATGTTTTATTATACGATAATAGCAGCAGGTCAGAAATGCAATGCATCAAATCACTAATACATACTTCATAACTGATTAAGTATAATGATGTTTTGAAAATAAGATGTAGTTTTGAGGTAAATATTTATAATATTTAAACATTGATACGTGAAATTCCACAAGTAGGTAGGTACACATAACATACTTACAGCACTGCATATTGCCTGTATACAACATAATAATATGAAGTTATAATTTATTATAATTTAACTTATATATCACCGATTTGACGTTTTCCAATAATCTTTTGACATTTATAATATTTTAGACAACAAACTTAAGTGTACAGTTGTAGTCTTTTTTTAATCACTGATAAAAAAAAATGAGCGTATGTATCAACGATAATGTCGATGCAACTTATGGCAAAACTTAACTAAAAAACTAACATTTTGGTGATGTAGTCTGTCATTTTGAAATTATTTATATGTTCACAAAATAATTAGAATTTCAGGGTTGACAAGACGTACACACCGCAGTCATCATGGTAAAATCTTTTTAACTCAGAATTATATTCTCATATCTGGTTAAAAATAAACTTGAACGCATGTATAACATATATCATACTATATATAACAAAGGTGAAGTTATCACACAGAGGAAAACGGATGTAGACATATGTTGTACAATATGTATTTAGTATTTACCATTAATTTTACTGCAGTAATTTGTGTTCAAAATATGGTTTTTATAATACTGGGTAATACCAGGCGTTAGGCGTGGAATTCAGGGCAATAAAATAATTATATTGGCTATTACATAAAAAAAAAAACTGAACACATAAACGTAATAATTCATACACATTTTAAGTTTTACACGTTAACTAAATTAATTTTATGACTGCTTGATATTAAATTATATAATAGTGATTAATTCTGAGAATGATCTTTTTTATTGTGAAATATTTTTAAGCCCATCTGTCATACCCTCATAAGATAATATTTTTTTTTTAAAGATAAATATAATATTTGAAATAACACTTACTGATATTATTACTATCGTTTTGTTGGCATTTTTGACCCTGCAACTTATAATAATATTAATAGTAAATACCTATAATATTATCTTAGTATTGGGACATAATTTCTAAGTCACAATAATATATTGATTGTCTGAGTATACCATAATATTTGATCTTGACCTCAATAACAGATTTTCTTTTGTGTCGTTAACGAGTCTAATCAGAAAATCATAATAATAATTTAAAAAAAAAAATACGTATACCTGCTATTATGTGAGAAACACACTTGTAATTCATAAGTTTGTACAAATGTTTCGTTTATTTACCAGTTTACCTTTAACAAGCACAATTGGGTCAATCTATCAAAAACAATAATCTATCTAACCGTTCTTGATACATTTTTTATTTGATTTACTTATTTACTTATAACATCATGTTTGTGCTTGTAGCTAACGATTACAATTTATAATATTATCTACGACCGTCCTGCAATAATATATTAGGTAGTCAACGTGTTATTATATGATATGGATAAACACTGAAACACTAGAGTTCCAACCACACAGACACAGGTAGATACATACTTAACAATTAATAAGTTGTGCAAATAAAACATTATTTAAGCACTTGTGCATTGTACGAAAAATTACTTTAATACCTTCCAATAGGCGCAGAGGCATATTAAAGGATTAGGTGTATTATATAAAAAAAAACAACAAAAGTGTCATAGTTACTCAAAAACGAATAACGTGCAACATTTTGAATGCCATAAACGACACGCAAAATAATACTATAATATAATCAATGTAATTTTTCATTTTCATTAGTATTATTAAAATATTGGGCGTGGGAAGGGGGAGAGTGAAGTGACTTAATGTACGTCATTCATTAAGAAGTATTGGATTTAATTCTTGTCTCGGTACTAAACAAGTGTTATTTTTGTTTGAACTGTGTCACGTAAAACACAAATCACTTAATCACCAAAGATATCTCACTCGTTTTATAACAGGCTGTAATGATATATTGTATGATATAATATCGTTTTAATAATGTTTTCCGGTACGGTTTATATTTTTATTGCAGCCGATGTATATAAATGAGACCATCGAAACGTTCTCACAATTATTATTGATATACGACGTCGTCGATACGATCGCGGTGAATCTTGAAGACCTATAACGGGCTTATACACATTCTCCGACACACTCGACGAAAAAATAAATTATGCGTTCGATTATTTCACTCGTGATTTTTATTTCATCCGTCACATGGGTGGCCGCCGCAATCCACACGGCTTTTGCCGAATCGTCTTACGAGGTACGTCGTAGATGATACCTTTTTTCTTTATTGTTATTACTATTATTATTTTAAATAATAAAAACTCACCATACGGCGCCACAGTGGACCTGCAGTTGAATATTATGCGTAAACGGTTTGCAGCCTCCATGTGCATATTGTATGACGCCAATTTCCATTGAAAATTCTTTACAATAAGGGTCGGCGGTAGTCGTTTTCAAACTCTTTTGTCGACGCCCGTACTCGTATTGAATTTCAATAAAATCCATCCGGTCTATACGTCAAGTATGCTAAAGTATAAAGTATTTGTCTAAAACATGTTCGCACAGAGAACACGGTCAAATGGGGGTATAGATTCCGCTGATAAAGATTTTGACCGTTTTCGCGAAATTACATCGCACCGGTGAAACCACCACCATCGTGGTTACCGTGGTGGTAACAGTAGGTGGCATATACCTCACCCAACCTTAGGCCTACGTTATGTTATATAATTATACTTTTTCAAAGTGTGTTGCATCGCACTCAATTTATTGATTTACAAAGAGGTTTTTTTTAGAATTTTTCGTCAAGAGCTCGAAAATTAGTTCAAAAAACGAACTACGACAACTGGTCGAGAAGTAGAAAGACCGCTGATATCAATTACAAAACGGACATACCGAAAGAATTCGATGCGCGACAGTACTTCATCAGTTGTGCAAATGTCATCGGTGACGTCAAGGACCAAGGAAACTGTGCTTCCAGTTGGGTAAATCAATAGTGTCAATATTATTATTAGCATAGTACAATATTTTAAAATGGAAATGGAATATTTTTTCTAAATGAAAGTCTATAGTATTATTATTATTATTATCATTTCCATGCGGTTCTACTTGGACCCAATTTAACTATACATAATATAAGCCATATGGGCACAATCTAAGCTTATATATTAATGTCTCTGTCTGTGAATTTTAGGCTGTAGCAGTAGCTTCGACATTCACGGATCGGCTTTGTATAGCGAGCAACGGGAAGTTCACCGACAACTTGTCCGCACAAAACCTTATGTCTTGCGGCGATGATGAAAAATTGGGTTGCGACGGTGGTTCGGCGTATAAAGCTTGGGAATTCACCATGGGCAAAGGAATAGTGACTGGTGGTCCCTACGATTCCAATGAGGTACCTATAATATACTATACACAACGCATTACTAATACTACTTTAGTACTTTACTAATTTAACATGAGCATAATTTAATCAAGTAAATTAACGTCTAAGTTAACTAATATCATAATATTTGAATTTCCGATTTCCAATTTCAGGGTTGCCAGCCGTATAAAAACAGACCCTGTGACCATTATGGCGACAGTAGCCTGACAAATTGTTCGAGTCTCCGTAGAACGCAAATGATGTTTTGCAGAGATAAGTGTGTCAACAAAAACTATAAAGTTAAATACGAAGACGATTTGTATAAAAGTAATTTTATTTTAATATTATTATCTTTCACAGCTTAAATTGCATGTGCATGAGCCCTTCTCTAAATATATTATCTTTAAGACTCCGATAGGTAGGGGAATATTATTACCTATATCAAGTTAATCTTTAAAAGTGTCAGCCCGCAACAGCAGATATTACATGCAAATAATTTATAAAAGTATGATTTTTTTCCATAGCTTCGGTCGTTTACATGACTTCGTGGACGAACGTCAAACAAATCCAACAAGAGATTATGACTTACGGTCCTGTGACTGCGTTCATGTACGTGTACGAGAATTTTATGGGTTACAAAGAAGGTTGGTAATTACTTGTATTATAAATAGAAAATAAACTTATATGAATATGCATATAATAATATATTAGTATCAATTAGTTTAAAAAGTAATAAATGGGTGTAGACTATGGATTTGAATCTGATTTGGTTCTTTCGGATATATTTCAATTTACATAATATTTGGAACATTAATCATTACAGCGCATATTTCTAAATGTTTTGAAAGTAAAATGCATACGCATAGGTATAATAAAAATAAATACCTAACAGAATTCTGGTCCCAAATTATTGTAATACTGAAATTATTGTCAAATCTAAGACTATAGTTGTGAGTCCGATCGTAGAAATACCTATAACGTATGTTGTGTTTGTCTGTTTACAATACTTTCAGGAGTCTACAAGTCTACAGCCGGTGAACTTATAGGTTACCATCATGTCAAGTTGATCGGATGGGGCGTCGACGAGGCTGGCATTGAATACTGGTTGGCGATGAATTCGTGGAATTCAAACTGGGGAAACGATGGACTTTTCAAAATTCTCAGAGGATACAATTTCTGTTCAATCGAACTCTTAGTGATGGCCGGCCTCGTTGACGTTTCTCAATAATAATACTATAGTAATAATAATAATAATTTTATGTCCTTCTCATCATAATATTTTTATTATTATTATTATTCACATAATTTATTTTATTATTTATTTGTATACCTAATTGTTTTCGACGATTGTATCATAGTATATTTTAATGAGTGTGTAAATTTAAATATTTCTCCATGTACATTTTAAAATAAATGACTGTATAGTGTATATATACTATAATATTTTGTATAACATGACGCATTGGCTGATATAATAATATGATACATGTTATACGGAGCTAATTTATTTGATATTTTCCCGCTGTAAACCATATATTATTATGTAAACTTTTTTTGTACAAATATAAATTTAATCGAAAAAACATATTATTTACGTCGTAAATCATATCACATAAACACATTTTAATTTCTAGGCTCTTGAATGGTTTGTGTTTATGTTTCGAATATTCCCTCGTGTGGTACTTTTTCTTCTATGCAATTGCTTCGTATACACTTTTTCACATAAAAATATAAAAGTGATCCTTCAATGAATACAAAGGCATTTCTGACAAGGCAGTTCTACCTATATAGCCAAATGGAAAACGATATGAAATTTTAAATTGGAAATGCCAAACTTATGAAACGAGGAATCGAACAGTAGCATAAGGCCGGAATTGCCCCCTCTCTTCGTTTTGAAACAAAATGGAAAAGAGGGTTTGCGACAGTTGTCATACGCTAAAATATATGATCCATAATTCACAAACGATTCAAAAAAAAAAAAAAATCATCAAACTTTGTTTCGAGCAACTGAAATAATATGTTTTAAAATAAAAAGAAAACGATTCGAAAACAAAGAAATGATTAAATGATCGAAGCAAAACAATAATCGAAAACATTCGGCGAGTATGTAGGATATACTTTCAACAAACTGTTAAGTATTATATAATTGCAAGGAAGTAATATCATACGTTCATACGTTCAGAGAGCATTACATTTTTTGTTATAAGAAAAATATTAGGAAAATTAATAGTAATAAAAAAAAAAATGGGACTTATCGATAATAATTATATTACTCATAAATACGTATTGGGAAGTGTAATGTAATTTACTATTTTGATATACTTAAGTGTTATGCACTAAATTCATCAACAAATATTCGATTACGGCTCTTCTATATAAAGTGTAAAGTGTTACTCGAAGGTCAGCGCGTACGAAAAAAAATGTTTTAACAAATATACTAATACGCTTACTGATTTATTATAAGTATAACATAACATGTGTCTGAAACTTTGAACTCCTCAATATTTACATGACTTATCGACTAAATTTATGTTCTCTTGAAAATTACACATTCTTTCAGTCGTTTAAAAAATATGTAGTTAGAAGTTAAATTCATGCTCACTCGAATTGAATAGTAAAAAACAATCCGTGTATGATGATGTATGATGTATACTATCTATATTATACAACACAGTGTCGGTTGTGCCTGAAACATAATTGATCAATCACCGGTCTTATGTTTTGTGAATACGATACTTACCTACGTTATAATTTATAGACATACGAGTAAATTAAACGTGTTACACAACGATTGAGCCCGTCTTACCCTTTTACATATTTCACAAAACGTAACACGATTGGACTCCACGAAATGGGTGTTGTCCTTTTACTAATTTTCCTTGCCGATTTTACAGGCTGAGGACTGACGACAAAGTTACATTTTGGCTGACTGTATTTTTAAATAGTGTATTGGAAAATTGTTAAAAGGACAACACCTTTGTTTGATGGAGGGAAATCCTATATAGTGGTTTTTACATGTAAAAAGATAAGACTGGAGCAATCATTATGCTTAACCGAATTATATAATATATAAAAATTGCGAAATCATTAAATACACGAATATTTGAAGAATATTTGTCAGGGATATCCAGTGCTTGATTTTGGGAGAGGCGTGGGGGTACTGGTCAACACTCAGGCTAATAGTTTTTTAGTTTAATTTTTGATGGTGGATTGGGGGGGGGGGAGAAGCCTCCTACAGTGTTATTCACTATTTTAATTTAACTGGGGTCGCCAATGTTGTACGTATGTTTCATCAGAGTACCTTTACTAATTATTTTACCAATTATAAAATATTCAAATTTTATAAATATTTTAAGGCTTGAACATTTAATACAAAGTTCCACATAAATATATATCACTAGAACCGCTTTAATATAATAACACGTTAGTAATAATGATAATATAATAATATTTTTTTATTTTAATTTTATACTTCAATTTTTTTGTTAGTTTTTGTAGTTTAAGTTCAAAATTGTATGAAATTAGAGATTTGTCTAAACGAAGAATAACGATGTTAGATATTTTGATATACTTAAAACATATTATTAACAGGTACTTGAAACTTTTAATGTATTTATTTCTATATTTTATACACATTTTTAAACTTATCTTTAAACATAATTATGTCATAGATACTTTTTATTTAGTATGTTAATGGTTTAAAAATAACTAATGCTCCGATTTTAGTATATTTAAAAATAATATTTCGTTAAAACAATACTTAATTTATAAATGTTAAAATTAAATATTAGGAACCTAATGGATATCACACATAGGATATAATGATGATCGTACAAATTTTGGACATAATATGTTCTTAAACCAATTAACAAAAAAGGTCTGTGAAATACCTAAAGTATTCGACAAATTTGTCCATCGACCAATTGAGCGTTTGGGCACATTAAACCGAAAGTCAACAGTCAACACGTTTGAGTACAAAATACAAATAGAAAGTACGTTTAGACACATAGAATAAAAGGTATTTTATGATTTTACCCAGTAAATCGGTGAACGTTTGGGTACACGTCATATATAAGACACATTTTTGTATATATCATATATTATATACACGCAATCTATAACTATAATAATGATAATATTTTCAGTTTTAGACAGGCAAATTGTTTTAGTATAATCAATTCTTTGATGGAAATTCAAAAAGAAACTTTTTAAAAAATATCCACTACCTATAAGATAAATGTTAAAAATGTTATGATAAAATATTATTCAGATAATGTTGAAAATATTAAAAAAAATTTTAATGAGCTTAAAGTTGACAATAATAATATGATGAACTATTTATATGATATCGGATAATGTTTTGTCAGAAAAAATTAAATCTATAGATAAATAAATAAAATACAATTTTAATAGATTTAATATTTTTGTAATTAATTTTGAATAACTTAATGTTTTCTATAATTATATAACAATATGCAACGATAAAAATATTTTTGTCTTTAAAGAACTTTCGTAATTTGTTTTAAAATTGTGTATTTGGTTTTTTTTGTGGAGATTCCTACACTTTAATAATATAATACATATGAAATTAAAAACTCCATTCTCCCATGGCCATCCTCTTCACCGGGTATCTCAAGAAAAATAGACACGTCAATCAACAGAATGCAAATTGGACACACATCCCTTACCCACCAGTATCTGATGAAGAGGAAAGACCCACCTGTATGTGACAGTTGTGACACACCCATATACATCTAACACATCATAACTGAATGTATCTCCTCTGAAATAGATAAACGGAAAGCAGGAGTTCCAGAAAACCTCTCTGAAGCCCTCCATGCAGACAACATAAATATCACAATTGCGTCATTTATAGTTAAAACTAATTTAATTAATCATTTGTAACTACTTCACTAATAGTAATGATTTTATGGAAATAGAATGTAAACCTTTAAAATGTTTGCAGTTAATAGCCTTAAATGTCAAGACTATTATAAAAAAAAAAAAAATTAAATAAATTATAATATAATATATCAGCTTTTGTCGCTTTTCCCTACGGTGTTTAATAACACTGATGTTTCATGTTATTATGAATAGTCAAACGCTGCATTAAGTGTGTGGGTTTTCATCTTTAAAAGCAATGTACTTAATAAGACGCCCAATTGATTATATTCGGAAAAGTAAGGTTATTTATTTAGACATTTTCAGATTATTAAGAAACTTTAAGAATATCATTCAACTGTTTTAAATTGAAGAATCGTTATCCGTGAAGAAGTACAGCAGAAATCAAATAAAAAGTCTACGTACTGTTTACTCGGCGAAGGTCTAAAATTGAGATCTAGCACTACAAATGAAGTGAATACCAATAAACATTTTATTGACGAAAGTATTTAAGCATAATTTATTGCCAACCCGTATAGGTATAAGTATGCGTTATAATTGTATAAACAAACATTTTATAAGTAAAATATAAGCAACAAATAAAATTATAATATTTGTTTTATGCTCGAAAGGCAATAAGCTATTGAACTGTGTACATACATAATACACATATCAGATACCTATAATATATCATATAACTAATGTTATAACCTACCCAAATAAAGGTCTTGAGAGTGGCATATTTAATTTATGACGACGCAGCTAAACGGCAATGTAGAAAAAAGGAAGTGGTTATATTTTACACTGAGACATATCAGAAATAAAACGAACAAAAAGTTAGATACAGGAATTGGGTCCGACTACATATATACCTAATTCAGTAATCGGAATGGTTGTATTTAAATTTGAAATAATTTCATACGAACAATGATTGTAAACATAATTTTGTTAGAACAAAAACGATTACAATTTCGTTGAAAACAAATGATCGCCTTAACAGATTTCTATACTTTTGGTTTGTTTGATTGAAAAGAAAAACAGTACCTACAATCAACAAATCGCTTCGAGCTCCTCTAAGAATCCAAAATATTCCAAGAAATTGTAAAATCCAAATGAAACGTATTTAAATGTTCTTGCGATTCCCACAACAACCGATGCGAAAACGCCGGTGTTGGTGCATTTACATTAAAAACACGAATTTCCCATATTGAGCTTGCAATAAAATAAAACGCATTGTCACTAATGCACCTGATATTCAATGATAATGCGTAGGTAGCTGTACACACAATATTATTATATAGTCTCACAGACAATGACAATATTTAATATAATATTATTGTTTATCATATTTTATTGTAAACTGATGTCGTCGTAGTTTTCCTACGTTAAATAATTTTTATATTTACACGATTTAGCTCAGACATCGAGAGATGTCACGACAAGCCCACCATCTTCATTTATCTCGTTTTGCTCATTCCAGACAAAATATATGGAGTAGGTAATGATATTAATAAAATATTATCATATTATTGTGTGACACGATGGTGTACAAAATCACGACAATGAACTTCGTCCGTCCAAAATAAAATAATCGAACCACAAAAAAAAATATGTACAAAAAAGGTAAAGGAACGACCACAAAAACACTACGTTATTATTTTAATGTTTCCGTGATCAGGTCTTGGCCGTATTAACAGACGCG